TCTTAGTATTTGGTCTCAAAACGCGAAATAGAAGCCAAAAATTGGAAAAATACATTAAGCGAATGAGGAAGGAATTGCCAAAATCTCAGAAAAGAAAACAAGGATCAGTATCCAACTTATGACTAAAAAAATATACAGCAGGTCTGGAAGAAGTAAACCGAACTGCTGTGCTATAACGGCCTATGAACGCCTCTGTGCGTACATAGGCAACAAATGTGAAGACATATTTCTTAGTACAACTTCTGTTCCAATGTTAATCTTGAGTTACTCAATTTATAGTGATTTGTCAATCAACAATATTTCTTGTTCTAGTTTCTACAATTCTTGAGTAGAGCTTCTTTGGTACATTGAACAGAAATGAATCTCGATGGGTATTAGATTTCCTGATATCTCCTTGCTTATACAGGGACAAAACTACAGTCATATATAATTTTCTAATATCATATTATTCAATATACATAGAAAAAGTGAAGAAATGTATCTTCACATTTGTTGCCTATTAAGCGAACGAGGAAGGAATTGCCAAAATCCTGAAAAAGAAAACAAGGATCAGTATCCAATATATGGCTAAAAAAATATACAGCAGGTCTGGAAGAAGTAAACCGAACTGCTGCGCTATAACGGCCTATTAATCCCTATCCATACATATGCAACAAATGTGAAGATATATTTCTTCAATTTTTCATGTATGGTATGACAGGACTGTAGTTTTGTCCCTTTATGAGCAAGGAGATACAAGCAAATGTAATACCCATCGAGATTCATTTCTGTTCAATGTACCAAAGAAGTTCTACTAAAGAATTGTAGAAGCTAGAATAAGAAATATTGTCGATTTATAGAGCAATATAGATTAAGAAACTCAAGATGCACAAAGAAATATATCTTCACATTTGTTGTCTATGTACAGACAGCAGTTTAGTTTACTATCATCTAATATCATCTAAACTACTCCAACATATGACTTCCTTTTAGCAGTTCCTTGAAATATTGTGTTCATCTGTCTACTATATATTTGTTTAGCCATATAATGGATACCAATCCTTGTTTTCTTTTCTGAGATTTTGGCAATTCCTTCCTCATTCGCTTAATGTATTTTTCCAATTTTTGGCTTCTATTTCGCGTTTTGAGACCAAATACTAAGAATTAGTTCCGGTTACCAAGAAGAACATATAGCATTGTCCTTTCTATCTTTCTTTTTGCGAAGAGAATAAAGCATTCAATAGTATTATTTCGTACATTTTATGATATGGTCCAACTTCCGAATAAAATTAAGGAAATAAAAATGATTTTTTTTATAGCGATATATGAATTTTACTAAACAATCCATCCATCACCTATTCATTAAAAGTAGTTCAGATTAGGTATATATTATTTTAGTTTATAAACCAGATATTAATATGACTCATTTCTGGGGAAGTATATACAATTTAAATTACCGCTAAGAATCGGCAAATATATAAAACAAAGTGTTAAATTGCAAGCATTAAATAAAAAATTCAAGATATTCAGCAAAGTATTTTTGAATTAAGTTTTATTATTATAATTATATAATTTTTGCAATAGAAGCCTTCTTAAACGACTTTCATATAGCATAAAGGAAGTAATATTAAAAACAAAATTTTTTGACCATTAAATTATTGCATTAATATTTGTTTGTTAATACAATCAATACAATGTACCAAAAACATTATTATAGTACTATAACCATGCCATTTCTGAGTACTGAATGATGTGGCAGAGTCTTGTAGGCACCTATGCCAGTACCGCTTTTCCGTCGATTAAGGGCATTTTCTACAGAACTGCTTCAAATATTTTAAAAAGTAATCAATGTTTTATTATTACTACCTCGGTGCAACAACCCGTTGCCGGGTCCCCAGACCTCCACCAGCAACTTCTGCCAATCATTATGGTTTCTTACAGGTGCCATCCACTTGCGCACTCCAACGATGTTCCGAGTGTCAGCTGCAACTTTGCACACCCATCTATGCTGCACTCTTCCTCGTCTTCTCCATAGAGAGGCTCCAACAAAAGCTTCCTGGGCAAATTCTTTTCGCTCATGTGCGTCACATGCCCCACCGACCACTTTAACTATCTGAATGACATTTGGCTCTCTAAATAGACCATAAATCTCACCGTATATTAGCAGTGGGCTTAATATGGTTTTGTAAAAATGTAATTTAGTTTGGCGGGAGAGAATGTGGACGCCAAGCTATTTTCTCAGGCTGTAGTAGCACTGATTGGCAAAGATTATCTTCCTTCTAATTTCCTTTTCTGCGCTGTTGTCTTGTGTTACCATAAAGCCTTGACAAATAAATTTGGTGACATACTCAAAACAGTAGTCTCTGAACGTCACTGTCTCATTGCGTCCAGGCGTCTCTTCGGTCACCATGTACTTAGCTTTCTCGTGGTTCACCTCGAGCCCAGATTTCCTTACAAGACCTGCGAGTGCTAAAAAAGCTTCCCTGACAGCCTGTTGAGAGTGACCAATGATGTCGTCATTGTCTGCATAAGCCAGTAGTTGCGTACTCTGACTAATTATTGTCTGCCCGATTTTCTCACAGCTTTCTCCAGGGAAATATTGAATAAGAGGCATGCGAGGGCGTCACCCTGTCGTTGGCCCTTTGTCACTCAAAATTCCTAGGTTAGATCTCCACCAACGCGCACTGAACACAACACTTCGTTAATCAGTGTTTTAGAAAGATAAATGTATTCCGCAGATGTTTTATTTGGCATGTTTTCCAATATTGTTGACCGTTTAATTACAAACGCTTACAAATTACAAATTTTTTTTTTGTTGAAAAAATTTACCTTACTGGTGTTTTTTATTGCCTAAGCCAATTATCCTTTAATATTTTTTTCATGTTTTATTATTCTTTGACTATCCAGCATTAATAAAAGGGCAATTATGACAAAAGTAAGCGAATGCTGCTTCTCAATGACCAAAAAACTAACTTAAGTCAAAGTCGTCAGTCCTTCATGTTTTGAAGCCATTATGGGGCAGTGCGTTCACTTTTTTTTGTGGGAATATTGGCTTTATTTAAATAAATAGTTACAAGGAATACAATGATCTGCAATTTATAGGGTTGTGGGGGGAGGGGGATTGAATGGTAGGAGGCATAAAGTGGGCTGGTTGCGGTCGGTGGGGCATCTGGCCCACCATGAGTATGCAAAAACCGAAAATAAATATTTCTACAAACAGTTCAAAAATATTATGGAACAAGCTCATGAATATGACAAAATTAATGACAGGTGACTTCAATACCAAGATATGATGTGGACCGTAAGTTAGGCCATTAATCAGGTGCCAAAGCTTTCACAAAACGAGCAATGACAATGGAGTGAGATCAGTATGGCAGTAGTTAAGAAATAAGTCTTCAGCAGTATAATATTCTGGCACAAGGACATCCATATGTACATCTGGGTAAAAGGTGTGAAAAACTAAATTGATCATCTACCGATAGACAACATTTAGTGTAAAAGATTTTACTAAGAATTATAAATAAATAAAAATAAGAATTAAAAAAAACGAATATGAACAATAGAAGTATAGCAAAAACAGTTTGGATTTAATATGTAGAATTACTTTAATATTCCTAAACAAAAAAATGCAATAAGTAAAACTTCCTGGTAACAAATTATAACACAGATATCGGTAATATCAAGCAATCTGGCTATCAATGCTATTCCTCATAAAAACAGATGTTGCCAATGCATAAATTAACTGAAATAGATATGAAAAAATAAAATAGATAGAATCTAACTCAACTTTTGTACAAGAACAAAAAAATTATAAATATTTAAATTAGAATTTCATAAGTAAGAATCTACAGTAAAACCTCTTAACTGTTACACCTGTCATAAATAATTGTTGACCAACTAACTATAGTCCTTTTTAAGATTTTTTTTTCCCCCTGGCTTCAGAATTTTAATAAAAAAAAATTTTTTTCCCGAAACATTGACAGTTATGTTTCTTTCAAACATTAAAACCGATTCAAAGAATGGGGACCTAGATTTCCAAAAAGTAGTAATGGACAATTTTATTAAAGCGATATTTGAATGTATATGCATTCTAATGGTTTAATTTTACTGAAATCTGTAAACCAACGTTCATATAACATATTGAGAGGTCCTTTAAAATCATTGCTTAAAAATTTTAAATTAAAAAAAAAAAAAGACTTAGTACATTAAATCATTATGTCAATTGTAGGTAACTGAAGTCAGAATAATTGTTTTTTTTATTTTTTAAAGTTAAATAAGATGCCTACATAATAATCTTTAGTTGGGAGCATTCAATATTTAACATTAATAAGAATGATAACGACTCCAATTTTCTACTTCTATGAATTTAAAATAAAAATCCACCCAAACAATTACAACTTCATAATCAATTTCGCACAGATTTCAGTATAATTTATGTAACTTAGCTAAATTTATATTAAGAAGTGGTGATTTTTTTGTGACAAGTATTTAACACTAAAAAACAAACAAATCAATCAGTAAGCTAATATTATCATAAAAAAACAAGCTACTATATTGAAATCACTGAAAGTCTGATAATGTCAAAAGATAAAACTGAACAATAGAAAAATTACTCCAATAAGGACAGATATTTGTCAGTCATTCAAGTATAAATAAAAATAATATCAAATATTAGTAGACTGGATGATGAAGTAATTTTAAATATTTAAAACACTGTCTTCAAAAATGTTGAAGACTATGTCTATTTATATTATTAAATAAAATTAATCAAACCAGCTATCAAGTTTGAAACCAAAACAAAACAGATAAACTACACTTTATCTCTGATTATTAAGATTAAGGGGATATCATCACCAAGCATAATAAATTTTAAAGTTTCATAGATTCGATATCAATTCATTGAATAGTATTTATGCACATAAATTGACTTGTTTTTATGCACTAAAATGCATTTGTAAAAACACTAAAAAAACGAAGTTAACATTAGCGATCTTTGAAGTAATTTCAACTTGAATACTTACGTTCCAAGAAGTTCTTTAAGGCTATATTTTTCTTCTAAAGTTTGAGACTTATCTTTTTCATAATCCTTGGCATCTTTTTTTGACCTTTTCGCAACATCTTTTTTACCAAAGAGTGGCATTTTAACTTTTTTACTAAATCGTTCAAAAAAATTAAACAACTCACTGACACCAACGTATATCGAAGTCAATTATAATAAAAACCGGTAGCAATTTTGGTACATTTCTATATCCAAAAAGTGTTTAATAACACAACATAGACTCAAAGCTCGGAACTAACTGAGCTGCGTGCTCGTGATAACAATGACGTCAGAAAACAATTTATGCATTCCCTCAAGTTTTTAACAATTTGGTGGAGATTTTTTAACCCAAAATACTTAATGAAATAAAATTATACCAATTTGCATAAAAAATGGAATTATATAGGCTAATCGAAGTAAATAACTCAAAATAATATTTTAAATTACATTCTCTAATTACACTGAGACTTTTAGGTATAACTTGAGTAACTACAAATGATTTATGAGTTTGAAATAAGGCGTTCGTATGTAATCAAGGTCATAATCCCAGCGCAAATGCACGCACGCAATGTTATCTTCATGTGCGCGCACGCGAGTATGATTATGTGCGAGTGTAATAGAAAAGTGAATATTAAAGGTCTATCACCGAAAATAATAAATTTTTTGAGAAAAATGGGAAAGGAACTGACAAATAGAAATAGAAATCATCTTTATTCTGGGACTGGGTCCCTTAAGAATAATAATATTGTTCATACTAATTAAATTAACTCTGTTCATACTAATTAAATCTGGTTAGAAGACCTATTACAATAAAGAATACCTAAAATATAAGTAATAAAATAAGTATATACATAACTTTGAGGATATATTAACGAAAGCAGATGGGCAGTAGGGTTACAATACTACAATATTGTATACAAATATACAAATGTATATTTGTGCAAAAAACAAAAACATACAAATAACTAAATGGAATTAGAGAGAAACGCTAAATCAATTTTATAGGCAAACCATTGTAGTGATAAAATATAAAAAATAACTAGAGTAAATAAATGATTTACGTCTGTTCCTTTAGTTTAAGTAAATACACATAAAGATATTATGAAAAACTTGACAAGTATTGTTTATGAAGCAATAGATTACGAGAGAAAAAAATACATACATACATATATATATATATATATATATATATATATATATATATATATATATATATATATATATATATAATAATAATAATACTTTATTTATTCTGGGACGAGTCCCTTTAGAATAATACAGGAAGACAGAAATGAGGGCTAAGGAGCCTCAGAGATATATAAATAAAAATACAGAGTAATTGAACAGTCTTGGTTAAAAAAATAATATAATATATATATATATATATATATATACACATATACATATAAGTTGCTTTCCAATTTTGATCAGTTGATAATAAAAGAGAAAAAAAAAATAGATAAACAAAAATTGGAGAACAAATAATGAAGAACGAACTAATAACTTATGTACATATTTTCAGTAGTATCTATTTACGATTTTATGGGGACTGGATGGATAAGAAATGATTGAACAGGCGGGATTTAAAGGTAGGAAGGGTATTAGATTGACGGATATGGGAAGGGATGGAGTTCCATAGAGATGAGGATCGGATAATGAACGATTTGTCGAAAGCAGCGGTTCGGTGGGCCCTTATGTATAAATCAGAAGACCGGGAACGAGTATTGCGGGAACGAACAGAGGATTTGAATTGAAGGAGCTCGGAGATGTATGAGGGACGGTGGGATTGGATGACTTGAAAGAGGAAGGATGCCAGGAAATACTTACGACGGTAGGAAGGATAAAGCCAATTTAACTCCGCGTAAAGATGGGAAACAGAGGCGTCCCTTGGGATCCCGAAGATGAATCGTACAAAGCAATTTATCAAACGTTTTAGTTTCGCCTCGAGATCCCCAGAGAGGCCCCCATATACCGTACAGCAATAGTCAAAGTGGGGAAAAATTAAGGAAGTGACTAGGAGCCTACGGGTTTCAAAAGGAAATAGGTGACGGGAGTAGTTAAGACGTTTTAGGATGGAAATGGTACGGCGGGAAATATTGGATATATGATTTTTCCAAGAAAGCGTTTGATCAATGGTTATTCCAAGATTTTTTATGGTGGGGTGAAATTTGATGGGGTTATTATGTAGGAACAGAGTTGGAATAGTAGGGACAGTTTTAAGGAGGTGATTGGAGCCTATTAAGATTGCCTTTGTCTTATCCGCATTCAACTTCAGCTTGTTTGTTCTTGCCCAGTCACAAATTCCATCTAAGTCTTCTTGAAGTTTGTCTGTGGCAGATAATAGGTCGGAGGGCGGAAAGGAAAGGTATATTTGGAAATCATCTGCATAGATGTGGTATCGGGAGTGACTGATCTGGAGGGGAAGATCATTGATGTAAATAGCAAACGGAGTAGGAGAGAGAGAGGAACCCTGAGGGACACCACAGGAGAGGGGAAGTGTGTTTGAAGGAGGTTGATCAGGGACTACTACATACTGAGATCGATTGGAAAGGAAGGATTTGAACCAATGCAGGACACTGTTGGATAGAGGAAGGTTTTGCAATTTGGTAAGAAGGATGTTATGGTCAACTGTATCAAACGCTTTGGAAAAATCTAGAAGGATGAGGATAGTAAGGTTTTGGTGTTCAATGGAGTTTTGTAGGTCATGGATTATTTTAAGGAGAGCAGATTGCGTTGAATAGCCGGGTCGGAAGCCAGATTGGCATGGGTTGATAAAGGAACGTTCCTCTAGGAAGTTTGAGAGCTGATTTTGGACAAGGCGTTCTAGCGGCTTTGAGAGGTTGGATAGGAGAGAAATAGGACGGAAGTCGTGCAGTGAGGTAGGATTGGCAATTTTATTCAAAGGTCGGACTAGGGCGGTTTTCCAGGAGGATGGGAATATGGAGTTCTGCAGTGAAAAATTGTAGATATGATAAAGAACAGGAATAAGGTCAGGAAGGGTGGATTTTATTAGTTTTACAGGAATATTGTCGGGACCATAATCATTGGTGTGGGATTTTAGGATGGTGGAAAGTAATTCATCATAGGACACGTGGGAGAAAACGAAGTCTTCAGGATTGAATTTGTGATGTTTAATGTCGAAAGTATGAGAGGAAGAGTGAGTAAAGGATAAGAAATGGTTATTGAGATCATCTGCAGAAAGATCGAAGGAACTACGATTAATGGACTCTGGTAGGGATAGGTTGCGGAGTATTTTCCATTTAGATTTGGGGTCGGGAGCATTGGACAGGGCATTATGGAAGTAGGTGGTTTTAGCAAGACGGACTGCGGATTGGGTCCCATTGCGAAGCGCCTTGAAAGACACATAATCCACAGCTAGACGGGTTCGACGGTATTTGCGCCTTGCTGCATCTCTTCCCCTCATCATTTCCTTTATCTCACGGGTCAGCCAAGGCGCAGTGGGACGGCGTAAGGTTTTGGTTTTCAGAGGAGCGTGGATTTCTAATATAGATTGTAGGTTCGAGGTCAGGGTGGACACCATAGGATCAATGGAGTTGTAGGAATATATGGTGTCCCATTGCTGAGAATTAAGGTCTGGTTGAAGGGATTCATAGGAAAGAAGGTTTAAATTGCGGTATGAAACTATTTTGGGAGTGAAGGATTTTACGGGTAGGTCGTATGTAATTTGGATCAGGTCATGTGATGAAAGAAATGGAACTGGGTGTTGAGAAGAAGAAAGGATTTTGATGGGGGAGTCAGAGATATAAAGATCTAACCAAGTATCGGAAAATTGCGTGTGGTGGGTAGGAGAATAAGGAACAAGATGAAGATTAAGGGAAAACAACAGGTCGGTAAGGAAAATTTTTTCGGGAGATTGTGAAAGCATGTTCACGTTAAAATCACCGGTAATAATAATATTGGTGTAGTTGGAGACCAGGTTAATGAGGGAAGATTCAAAGAGGTTGTCAAATGGAACACGAGGAGGGCGGTAAATTACGGCATACAACAGAGGAGAGGAAAGCGAGGTGATTTCAACGAACATGTATTCTATGTGAGGAAAATCATGATAAGGAGACTGTAGAAGGATTTTGGCCTTAAGGCTGTCATGGATATATAATCCGACGCCACCTCCCGTGCGATGCGATCTATCGTGACGTAGGAACGAGTAATCTGGTAAGGAAATCTGGGAGGATGGGATAAAAGGTTTTAGCCAGGTTTCAGATATTGCTATTATATGGTAAAAATTGTCAAGGAAATATTTCTGGAATTCATCGTAGTGTGCAATAAGGGATTGGGCGTTGATGTGACAGGAATTCAGAATATTAGTCATTATAGTAGAGTTGGGAAGCAGAGGTTTGGTGAAAAGGATCGAAGATAAAGGATAGGATATAACATTTTTTTTAAACAAATACTCCGTTTAAAAATAATAATAAAAAATATTAAAAAATTGCATACATAAAATAAAAGTTGAGATGAAAGTAATGAATTTCCAATATTTCGAAATAAATATTCTGTTAAATATAATTTATAGCATATAAATTCCCCTGTCTGTAAAATATAAATATCCCCTTGTTTTAAATACATTGATACATTTTGGTAAATAACCAAATAAAGTTGTAAATAATTTATACAAGAATAAAGAGTGCTAAAAGTAAAAAAGATTAAAATCAAATTATTTCTGTCGAGAATAAAAGTATACAAAAATAAAAAAAGCTTCGATAAAAATAAAAAAATTAAAAAAGATACATTTCTATAAAAATAAAACAACCTGAAGATAAAAAGAATAAAGTAAACATATTTCTGGCGAAAATAAATGTATACAAAAATAATAAAAAGCTTCAATATAAATAAAAAAATAAAAAGTTACATTCATATGAAAATAAAAAAACCTGAAGATAAAAAAAAAATAAAGTAAAAATATTTCTGGCGAAAATAAATGTATAAAAAAATAAAAAAAGCTTCAGTATAAATAAAAAAATAAAAAAAGCTACATTTATATTAAAGTAAAAAAACCTGAAGATAAAAAAAAATAAAGTAAAATTATTTCTGGCGAGAAAAAATATATCAAATGCAAACTCAGAGTAACTTGTGAGCAACGTTCAGCTGAATACGTCAAGGTCACTCGGTTTTCCTATTATCACCGGTGGGTATCCATCTGACTCTCTGCAGCGAATTTTTCCTCCACTGAACCAAACATATTTTATTTTAGCAGTTAATTTCTTCTGCCTGGCTAACCAATAGAGGTGCTTGTTGGTGGGCGTCAT